GGCTAGTGCAAGTCCAAACCCTTATATGCATTGGTACCAGGTCATTGACACAAAGTATTGAAGCGAGAGGGTAAACTTGACAGTCAAGCAACTAGCATCCACAGAATGAAACGTAGTAATGGCAACCCCCATGTTTCTCCCAGGAAAGGTTTCTTTTAGATGTTTCTCTTTGTGTTTTTTTTCAAGTAGAACTCCAGGTAAAGAGTTGAAAATCCTTATGGAATCCCTCTAGTGCAGCCTTTCTTAACCTTCTCAGTACTGAGGAACCCTTGAAATAACTTTCCGGTCTCAGGAAACCCCCTGCTAAAAATGATTATATCTACAACTCATACATTAGTGTGATGGTCAGTGGGAAGAATGTTCCTTACACTTGTGGTCACTGGGAAGAATTACCCCCTTATAGATAGCTACAAAAGATTGGTGGTGTCGGTGGGAACTTGTCTCCTAAGCAGAAATTGCTCAAGGACACCCTAGCAACCTCCTGGAGGAACCCTGATTGAGAGCACGGAGCACCATGTCTGATTCTTGTCATTGCTATGGGTACTGAGCAGAGCAACCCCCTCCTACTCTGGCTGTAAAAGACCAATCACCGCCCCTCTGGCACTGAGCAGACCATCAGGACATGGATGTGGCCACTATGTTGGGAGGCTTTGCACTGAGTCCTATAAAGTGTGCCTGCACTACCTGCATGGTGTCTGGACTCTTCAGGACAGACAGCAAAGTTCAGCATGAATAAGAGCAGATTTGAGTAAAAGAGTATCGCTCTACAGAGATGGTGGCAGTGGCTAAAGTGCTGTGCTGTAGCTACCATATAAGAGGAATGCCCATAAATTGGGCTTCATCCTGGGGTGGAGCTGGAGCTAGCAGAAAATATGTCTTCTTAGTACACAGTGCTCCCATTGATCAGAATGGGTCCAAATGCATCATGCACTGGAATTCCTTAAGGATTCAGAAATTGCAATGATACTTCCCTATTCCATTACATATACTGTACATGAACTAGTTTACCTTCTGAAGGATTTTTAATTTTTTTTGATACACACCCTGCCTCATTGCCCCCCTGTCAAGTGAAGCCAATAAATCCTGATTCAGTTTCCTGGACAAGCTGTCCACCTCCTTCTTGCTCATTGGAAGATGAATCTGCGTCATTATCTCTGTTCAAGGAGTATGTTGTATGGCAGAAAAAATAGTTCAGTATTTTTCTTTCAGTTATGTATTTTGCACTTTACCTGTAGTTCTACTGTAACATGAGGACCATCTTGATGAAAGTGTTATGTGCCCTAAGGGTACAGTTGGTGTTTTGTCAAATCTCCAGCCTGTAAAATTCTGACAGGCTTGAAATACACTGCGTCTGGAACCCTTGTACTGAATGGTACTTGTGTCAAGGATGTATGCCTGAGACACTGGTCATCTGTACATTGGGCATATGTCCCTGAGTGCATAGGGCTCTAAACACGAGTACCACTCAGTACAGCATCTGGCTGCGGTGGATTTCAGCCTGTCATATATTTTGTCAGGCTGCACACAGCAAGGCTGGAAACAGACCTGTGCCTCTTGGGTGCAGGAATATGCCAGGCTAAAAGCCCAGAATGCATGTAAACAAAAGGGGCAATGGAAGAGGACAGAGCATCAACCCGTAGTGTGCATGGAGTCTGGTATTTAAAATGTATTTACAGCAGCTGACCTTAGTGCTTTTCTTGTGTTCTTCATTTGTAAAATCTTGACTTTCTTTTTGGTTGAGCCGGTGTAAAGTTTTCTGCTCCTTGGTTTTCAAGTGGCTTTGTTGCCTTCCAGGGTTCTGTGGAGCCAGCCTTATGTGAGTGCCCCCAAGTGAGAGACCCCATGCTGTGACACTACCTGCGCAGACATGCACAGGCAGCTGGGGTGTAATATACAGGGCACACATACGCAATGGCCATGGTCACAGCATTATGGGATATATATTCCATAGGAGAGGAAACAGGAGAACTCTTAATGAAGTGATGAAGGCATGCTTCCCGACTGGACGTTCAGGGGAGCCGTGTACAACAGGTTAATGGAAATGTACTGAAGAGAACAATTCTGAGGCTCTTAAGCCGGCCAAAGACTGTGGTGCATTTTCAGCGCGCATTTTCATCGCGTGGTGCATTTTCAGCACGTGGTGTTTCTTTTTAGCGCGTAGTGCATTTTCATCGCGTGGTGTATTTTCATCTCGTGGTGTATTTTCATCTCGTGGTGTATTTTCATCTTGTGGTGTATTTTTCATCGCGTGGTGTATTTTCATCTTGTGGTGTATTTTCATTGCGTGGTGTAAAGTTGTCATACATTTTGGAACGTTATAAGTAAACCTATGATAAAAGCCTAGTTAAAGGTTACATTCAGTGAAAACAGTCGGTAGACCCAGAGATATACTGCATGGTAGCTGAAGCTGCTTTTCCTGTAAAGCTGATTATTGCCCCTCCCAGTTTGATTTGGGGCATTTTCATGAAGTAGAGTGTGGCCCATTCATACCTTTTGTGTTTTTGGTGTGTTTTTTTTTTTTCCCCCTTTTTTTCCTGCACATTACCCATTCCACTCAACACAATAGAAATGCAACAAAGCAAAAAAAAAACAAAACAAAACACACGCCTTGTATGGATTATGTGTGTCAAGGTAAGTTTTAATGCATTAATTAGAATAGAAAATAGACCAGCCGGCAATGCAGGAGTGTGTATCTAGACTAATGGCAAAAGTTTAAATTTTTACTGACCATGCACTTTCCTTATGGATTTTTTTCTTCATATACTCTCCTATACTTTACATTTTTAGTGTTGGTACCTTTACTAATTGATGAACTATGGTAGACATGGTCAATTACAAAGGAACAGATCAGTTAGTTGCTTCCTTAAATAAAGTGTTACTAAACCCACAACAGTAAAATCATTCTGTATATGCAGTAAAGCATGCTTGTTACAATCACTGTGCAACCTAAGGGGTTAATCCTCTGCATTATGTTAAAATGCTGTTTTATCTTGACTTCTGTGATCCTCCCCTTCCAGCAGTGTCCCCCTCTTATCTCCTGATAAGACAAATCTTGTGGAGTCACTCTGCACATGCTCAGTTTAGTGTGTATTGCTAGAGGTTTTTTTTTTTTTTTTTCTTGGGAGAGTGCATGTGATCAGCACAGGGCCAATCAGCACTGTCCAGAAAGAGGTCAGGGGTTCTGCATCTTCCTAGAGCAAAATGAAAACTCCTCCTACAAGCTTTAACATGTGCTGTACGGGACACTGATAGAAGTCACAAGACTGCTCTAACTGCTGATGAAAGGTATTTAGCAGGGTGGATAAAAATCGATCATTTATAAAATTATTTAAATCGTATTTTCTTTATTTTTAGCAAATTTATTTTAATGAAATGCTTTTGGAGAAAAAATCTATTTAAGATACATTAATAATTTAGTTTATTCAGCATGAAATGTATGTAGCATGAGGCTGTATATTCTGCAATATTTACATTTTTGGTCATTCGAAGAATCTACGCTGAGATAACATGCACTGCATTGATGCATTCACACAATTTCACAGTAACCATGAGAAAAGACATGAAATAAAAGCATTTTAGTCGTTCTCCAGCTATGTGTGATTAGCCTATTAACCTAAAATCGGTTCTGATATCGCTGTTTTACTAACCTGACAGCTTATTATTCTAAAAAGGAGGCCTTCATTTTATTTGCAAATATTAAAGATTCTAACTACCAGCAAGAATGAGTCGGATTCCTTACATTTAAAGAGCACCTGTCATTTTAGATCCATCATGGCAGCGCCTGTTAGTGGGCATCCACTCACCTGCTGCCGCCATGTCCCTCACTGCCGCATCATCAGCCATCCCATTAACGTGAATAGGACTGTAGGTGAGTCAACAGCGGGTCAGAAGAGGAGCCGCTGCAGGACAGAGATGAGAGTTGCTCTTTAAAAATCATGATTTAAATCGAGCCTTTTCACTAGTGATTTAAATTGTGATTTAACCACTTGCCATCCGCTCTATAGCCGAAGGACGGCTACAGCGCAGTTGTCCAGCCCTGGAAGGGCGTCATATGATGGACACAGCTGATTGTGTGATGTGGTAACAGGCCAATCAAAGTGGCCTTTTACCATATGATCAGCTGTGTCCAATGACACAGCAGATCACCGGTAAATGCAGTTGCCGGATATCAGCTGCACTTTGACAGCGTGAGGAAAGTACTGCAGATAACTGGCAAATGTCAGGGCGGATTGGCACCGATCATCAGTGCATTGGTTATCAGTGCCCTGATGACCAGTGCCCATTTGTGCTGCCCACCTGTGCCCATCAGTGCCATCCGAATGAGGAAAGAAAAAACAGAGGGTGCACAGGCCTAGTGCATTACCATAAAAAATGTTTAATAAAAAACAAAGTAGGTGTTGTACTACTACTACAGTGCCATCCACCTGTGCCGATATGTGCCTCCAGTCAGAGCCGCCTATCAGTGCTCATCATTGTTGCATATCAGTGCCGCCTCAACAGTGTCAGCTCATCATTGCTGCCTAACCATGCCCATCAGTGCAGCCTCATCAATGCACATCAGTGCAGCCTCATCAATGCACATCAGTGCAGCCATCAATGCACATCAGTGCAGCCTCATCAATGCACATCAGTGAAGGAAAAAAATTACCTGTTTGCAAAGTTTTATAATAGAAACAAAGAAAATGTTTTGCTCTTTTTTTGTTTATAGCGCAAAAAATAAACGCCCAGCGGCGAGTACATACCACCAAAAGGAAGCTCTATTTGTGTGAAAAACATTATAACATTTCATATGGGTACAGTGTTGCATGACAACGCAATTATCATTCAAAGTGCGACAGCGCTGAAAGCTGAAAATTGGCCTGGGCAGGAAGGGGGTATAAGTGCTCGGTAGGCAAGGGGTTAAATCAACTTGATTTAAATCAAATCCACCGTGGTTTTTTAGCAGTTTATATTTACTAATATAAGTGTATTTCCATGTTGTGTGTACTGTGAGAGACCGGATATAGTGAATGCAGGGTCCTGGGAGACCGGATATAGTGAATGCAGGGTCCTGGGAGACCGGATATAGTGAATGCAGGGTCCTGGGAGACCGGATATAGTGAATGCAGGGTCCTGGGAGACCGGATATAGTGAATGCAGGGTCCTGGGAGACCGGATATAGTGAATGCAGGGTCCTGGGAGACCGGATATAGTGAATGCAGGGTCCTGGGAGACCGGATATAGTGAATGCAGGGTCCTGGGAGACCGGATATAGTGAATGCAGGGTCCTGGGAGACCGGATATAGTGAATGCAGGGTCCTGGGAGACCGGATATAGTGAATGCAGGGTCCTGGGAGACCGGATATAGTGAATGCCGGGTCCTGGGAGACCGGATATAGTGAATGCAGGGTCCTGGGAGACCAGATATAGTGAATGCCGGGTCCGGGGTTTAGGAACACTTTAAATGCAGACCCATGTCTAGAAAGTTCACTCATGCTGGGTGCTGCTTTGAGTGGATTGCTCATGTTTGGGAGTTTTATACAGATTACGTACCAGGAAGATTACAGCATTTTCCTGCATTCCAATGTACCTGAAAGGTGTTGAAGGTAGTTGCCACTTGAATAAATATATTCAATTGTTTGCACAGCAATTCATGCTTTACCATGTGAGTGATATTGCTTTTATATCAGTTCATAGGTTAAGTAAGCGATACTTTTCAGACAGTACCAGATCTTACAAGACTTTTGTAAAGCTCTGCAATGTGTTTTAGAAGTATAATCTGTGCTTTGCTTGCAATCTAAGGTGCCTAATAAGGGTTTGTTCATGGTAAGTTTCTAACTTTTACCAAACGCTCCTATAGCTTTAGTATGTGCATTACACAGATGTTAATGAGCTTTAGTATGTGCATTACACAGATGTTAATGAGCTTTAGTATGTGCATTACACAGATGTTAATGAGCTTTAGTATGGGCATTACACAGATGTTAATGAGCTTTAGTATGGGCATTACACAGATGTTAATGAGCTTTAGTATGTGCATTACACAGATGTTAATGAGCTTTAGTATGTGCATTACACAGATGTTAATGAGCTTTAGTATGGGCATTACACAGATGTTAATGAGCTTTAGTATGGGCATTACACAGATGTTAATGAGCTTTAGTATGGGCGTTAGACTGGCTTTTTACTGGAATTAAAAACGCTCCCCAAGCGCCCTCTGTGCAGTTTTGAAGCGTTTGACAAGCGTTAAAACCACACCACAAACTAAATAAACAGTAATGCTATTAATGTGCCGCAATCGCATGACAAATGCCCTGCAAACGCCTATCCAATGTCCTTGAGGAGCATCACCATAACTTAAATTGGAGGCATTGAAAGGCTTCAAACTCCTCCTAACTCGGCATGAGGCTTCAATTTTGAAGTGACGCGACGCTAACACTTCATGTTTTGATAATGTGAACAGCACTGTGTGCTGCCCATCGTATCATTTGCATAGGCGTTTGAGGAACGTTAAAAATGCCCCTCAAATGCCTGCTTTCAATGCCAATGCGAACTAGGCTTAACTCACATTCATATATACTAGGGCAGATTTAGACAAGATCCAGTCAACCTACCAGCATGCCATTGGAGTTTGGAAGGAAACCGGAGTACCCGGAGAAAACCCATACAGGCACAGGGAGAACATGCAATATCTGCGCAGGTAGCACCATGGTTGGGATTCGAACCAACGACCCTAGTGCTGACAGGCAGAAGTGCTAACCTCTTAGCCTCTGTGCTGCCCAAATGAAGGCCCTTTCATAAATCGTAAAAATAATAAAAAAAGCCTGCAAGTGTTCTGTGCAGCACAAAGCAGGGAACCCATAGCGGGGCTTTGAAAACTCCATTCTGTTTAACATAAAATAAATAATATAAAATAAAATCTTGAACTGTCAACACAGTGTCGGGTTTTTCAGGTGATATCCTGAGGTTTTCAGAGAGTACTACACATATAGGCATTTTTACATTTTCTTCCAAACCCCAATCACAGTCCCAAGTGCCAGATCTTAGACTTTTCTTGTCTTTAAAATCTGTCCCAAAGGCCCCATGGACACATGGAGAGCACAGTGGGGATAAAGCAGCTTTTTCTTTACTGTGGATCTAAATTCAAGAAGTGAAAATTTGCTAGGCTTTAGGGAATTTTCTAGAAACGTTATTTGTGCCTGTACCATACCCTATAAAATAACGTTTGTCTGTAATATCTCCTGGAAAATAGTAGTGCACTTCAGAGGCAGCTTTATATGTGTTGTATGTGAGATTCCAAGGCCTTGTGTGCCTCTGACTTCTAGTCTCATGAGATTTGGAAGTGAACTAAGCCGGCCGCCTTCAGGAGACACTAGTTGTTATCAAGTTTTAATACAGGTCCCGTAGTGCATTTTGTTGCAATTATATTAGTATTACATAGTTAGTCTGGTTGGAAAGTCAAAAATCCATCCAGTTCAACCATTAAAAAAAAAAAAAAAATTAATCCTACACTCACAGTTGATCCAGAGAAAGGCAAAAAAACCAGCAACGCATGATCCAATTTGCTCCTGCAGGGGAAACAATTCCTTCCTGCATTTGGATATTCCCTGGATCAACTTTACCTATAAATGTTAGTGTCCAGTTATATTCTGTGTATCTAAGAAAGAATCCAGGCCTTTTGTAAAGCAATCCACTGAGCTGGCCAGAACCAACCCTTGAGGGAGACTATTCCACATTTTCACAGCTCTATGTAACTATGTAATTTACAGGCAGGTTAATAAGTCAGTCAGTCTAGGGGAATAGATCAGCTGCAGGGAAACCACAGGCAATACAGTCTACTAGTCCTTTGCCCTCTGCCTGAATGCCTCCCCTCCCACCGAGCACCTTATCTGTTTTTTTTTTCCATAAGGTTCTAGGTTCAATTTAAAGCAGTATTAAACTCTCAACAAAAAAAAAAAACCTTTTCCCCTGCAAGGCCATGTCATAATGTAATGCATCGCATACTAGCACATTATTATTATTATTATACAGTATTTATATAGCGCCAAAGGGTTTGCTCAGCACTGTACAGTAGCAAGGGGGACAGAACATGAGACAAGACAGTAACAAAACAATACACGAGGGGTTCGAGGGCCCTGCTCTTTCCAGCTTACAATCTAGGAGGGATGTGAAACTTGCCTTAAAACGAAGCCCTCCAGAGGCATGCTGACAGGGCTTCCATCTTCACTTGGTCCTTCTTCCATGTTTGTGGGCTCCGGCGGCTTGAATGGCCGAGCCGCGATGACGTCACTCCTGTGCATGCACTCGGGAGTCACTTTTTACAGCACAGGAATGTCATTCCTTCAGATTGCATGCACCGCTCTACACAGATAAATATCTCCTAAGCTGTACATTGAGGCGTTATTTACAGTACCTACAGGTTTATTATAGGCTTACCTGTAGATACAAAAACAGACTTTACTACTACTTTAAAGAGGAAACTCAGGAACTCTATGTGACTAAAATAAATTTCTAGCCAGATAACGGTTGTCTCTGAGACTAAACATGTATAACCACTTGTCCATGGAGTCCGGCATTGTCTTGCTTGCTGCTGAAGATCTCCATGCACCCTTTTAGTGTGCCACCATCTTGAAATTCTTGTTCATGCATGTGCACAAGTATGGCAGTTTTCTGCTGATAATTGGGACCTGACAGACTTCCCACGTGTCTGTGCATGTGTAGGTTCTCAGATACTTCATCCCCAAGTGACACCTGCCTCCTGAGATGTGACACTAAGTATGGAGGTTGTGTCCCACAGCAAATGGTAAAGGTGTTCACACTTCCTAAGTTAATACAAGTATCTCCTATTGTGTAAAAGGGAGGAGGGGGAGCAGAAGTCCATTTTGTGACTGAAGGTCCTATTGAAACAAAGGATAAGGAGCAAACTATTGAAAAAGCTGAATTGGCCCCCCTGTGTTCCAGCCCTTTGTCATAAGGCCAGGACATAAAGGGGGCTTATACAAAGCTCCATAGTGGTACGATCACAGTTTTCTGAACTTCCATATTTACAGTCATATGCAATTCCACTGGTATATGGCCAGATTTATTTTTAGTTAGGTCATCATCCTAAATGTAATGCTACTCTACAGCGTGTGAAGAGCCTTGTCCTCCTTCATATGTATAATGTGTGTTGTGATTTCTGGAAAAGTTACAGAGATAATTTCAGATTTTCAAAAAAAAAAAAAATAGAATTTATGTTGATAATAACTGAAAACCTGTGGAGCTATTACGTCTTGTATACCTGGCTTAAGTCTTCATTCACAGGCGGTGGTAAAAACAGGCATTTTGGCCACTGTTTTACTGCCCCTGACTGTCCACAAAAGAGAGCATGCAGCTGCTCAGAGTTGAACACATGCAGCCACTGCAATGCTTTGTTTTGAGGCTGTGACAAAAATCATACCCTCTGTTGTGTTTGGTGGACCGTGCCCCATCTGCAAGCCAAATGTTTTACTCATGGTTGTGATATTTACTTGTAGGATCTGAATTTGGCTGTTTAAAAAAAATATTAGAAAAAGGCATTCAGAAGGCCACAGTATCACCTCCTGAATGCCAGGCAGCTGTTGCTCTACCACTTTATGAAAAGTGATTTATCACAGATAGCTTTTCAGAGGAGTGGCATGGGCTGTCATCTATGTGAATGATTTCTAAAAGTGTATTAAGCTGTACAGAGGAGTGATTGATTTATTGATTTGTGCAGCCATTGCTTTGCTTTGAAATTAATGCAGAGTGCAGCTTCTGTGGGCACTTCATTCCCAATTCATTTAGTTTTTCTTCTGAACATCAGAATGCCTGCTGAACACATGCCTATATTGTAGCAAGAGTAGTAAGAACTTCTTTTTTTTTTTTTTTTTAACTGCTTTATGTTTAAAGTGTAAGTTTAAGCAAAACCTAAACTAAGGCTTAACCTAGTCCCACCCCCATTCTATCCTATTGTATACCCTGTAAAGAAAAGATCTGTATACTTGCTAGATTGTAAGCTCCAAGGATCAGGGTCCTCCTATCCCTCTTGTATTGAACTGTATTGTTGCTGTATTGTCTCCTGTTATATTGTAAAGGGCTGAGCAAACTGTTGGCGCCATAAATCCTGTATAATAATAATAACTTCCCTATTCAGAAGCCGTTCTGGTCCGGTCACATGATCTCTCCAGCTGCTTCTGCATTGAGGAGAGATCGCTAACAATGGCTGGAAATGCCGGGGAGATGATGTCACCCATAGACTTCCATTGGCGACTGCCCCTCCTGCACACAGAAACCGCCAATGGCAGCTGATGCTGGGACCGGACCGGAGTGACTTCACAATAGGCAAATATAGCAATCTTTTCATAACCGGGTTGGATAGAATGGCCTTAGAATGGGGGAGGCAGTAGGTGTAGCCTTAGAGTTGGTTTAACTTTCACTTTGAATGGTTTATGGATACTTAAAAATCTCATTTTATGAATACTTGTTTATCATTGTTAATTTTGACGTCAAATTTTGATCTAGTTTTAGTCATAGTCTTGACTGAAGTGCCATTTTAGTTTTAGTCGTATTTTATTCACCTTAATTGTTTTAGTTTTAGTCGGGTAAAATCTCCAGTACATTTTGGTGAACTAAAAA